TATATGTTCTCCTTGTGTTGATGCTATAGTAGATGTATGTTCTCCTTGTGTTGATGCTATAGTAGATGTATGTTCTCCTTGTGTTGATGCTATAGTAGATGTATGTTCTCCTTGTGTTGATGCTATAGTAGATGTATGTTCTCCTTGTGTTGATGCTATAGTAGATGTATGTTCTCCTTGTGTTGATGCTATAGTAGATGTATGTTCTCCTTGTGTTGATGCTATAGTAGATGTGTGTTATCCTTGTGTTGATGCTATAGTAGATGTATGTTCTCCTTGTGTTGATGCTATAGTAGATGTATGTTCTCCTTGTGTTGATGCTATAGTAGATGTATGTTCTCCTTGTGTTGATGCTATAGTAGATGTATGTTCTCCTTGTGTTGATGCTATAGTAGATGTATGTTCTCCTTGTGTTGATGCTATAGTAGATGTATGTTCTCCTTGTGTTGATGCTATAGTAGATGTGTGTTCTCCTTGTGTTGATGCTATAGTAGATGTATGTTCTCCTTGTGTTGATGCTATAGTAGATGTATGTTCTCCTTGTGTTGATGCTATAGTAGATGTATGTTCTCCTTGTGTTGATGCTATAGTAGATGTATGTTCTCCTTGTGTTGATGCTATAGTAGATGTATGTTCTCCTTGTGTTGATGCTATAGTAGATGTGTGTTCTCCTTGTGTTGATGCTATAGTAGATGTGTGTTCTCCTTGTGTTGATGCTATAGTAGATGTATGTTCTCCTTGTGTTGATGCTATAGTAGATGTATGTTCTCCTTGTGTTGATGCTATAGTAGATGTATGTTCTCCTTGTGTTGATGCTATAGTAGATGTATGTTCTCCTTGTGTTGATGCTATAGTAGATGTATGTTCTCCTTGTGTTGATGCTATAGTAGATGTATGTTCTCCTTGTGTTGATGCTATAGTAGATGTATGTTCTCCTTGTGTTGATGCTATAGTAGATGTGTGTTCTCCTTGTGTTGATGCTATAGTAGATGTATGTTCTCCTTGTGTTGATGCTATAGTAGATGTGTGTTCTCCTTGTGTTGATGCTATAGTAGATGTATGTTCTCCTTGTGTTGATGCTATAGTAGATGTGTGTTCTCCTTGTGTTGATGCTATAGTAGATGTATGTTCTCCTTGTGTTGATGCTATAGTAGATGTGTGTTATCCTTGTGTTGATGCTATAGTAGATGTATGTTCTCCTTGTGTTGATGCTATAGTAGATGTATGTTCTCCTTGTGTTGATGCTATAGTAGATGTGTGTTCTCCTTGTGTTGATGCTATAGTAGATGTATGTTCTCCTTGTGTTGATGCTATAGTAGATGTGTGTTCTCCTTGTGTTGATGCTATAGTAGATGTATGTTCTCCTTGTGTTGATGCTATAGTAGATGTGTGTTCTCCTTGTGTTGATGCTATAGTAGATGTATGTTCTCCTTGTGTTGATGCTATAGTAGATGTGTGTTCTCCTTGTGTTGATGCTATAGTAGATGTATGTTCTCCTTGTGTTGATGCTATAGTAGATGTGTGTTCTCCTTGTGTTGATGCTATAGTAGATGTATGTTCTCCTTGTGTTGATGCTATAGTAGATGTGTGTTCTCCTTGTGTTGATGCTATAGTAGATGTATGTTCTCCTTGTGTTGATGCTATAGTAGATGTGTGTTCTCCTTGTGTTGATTCTATAGTAGATGTATGTTCTCCTTGTGTTGATGCTATAGTAGATGTGTGTTCTCCTTGTGTTGATGCTATAGTAGATGTGTGTTCTCCTTGTGTTGATGCTATAGTAGATGTATGTTCTTCTTGTGTTGATGCTATAGTAGACTATGTAATCCTTGTGTTGATGCTATAGTAGAAATATGTTCTTCTTGCTTTGATGCTATAGCAGATGTATGTTCTCCTTGTGTTGATGCTATAGTAGATGTGTGTTGTCCTTGTGTTGATGCTATAGTAGATTATGTTCTCCTTGTGTTGATGTTAAAGAAGATGTGTGTTGTCCTTGTGTTGATGCTGTAGTAGATGTGTGTTCTCCATGTGTTGATGCTATAGTAGATGTATGTTCTTCTTGTGTTGATGCTAAAGTAGATTAGTGTTCTCCTTGTGTTGATGCTATAGTAGAATAGTGTTCTCCTTGTGTTGATGCTATAGTAGACTATGTAATCCTTGTGTTGATGCTATAGTAGAAATATGTTCTTCTTGTTTTGATGCTATAGTAGATGAGTGTTATCCTTGAGTTGATGCTATAGAAGTTTAGTGTTCTTCTTGTGTTGATGTTATGGTAGATGAATGTAATCCTTGTGTTGATGCTATAGTAGATATATGTTCTTCTTGTGTTGATTCTATAGTAGATGTGTGTTCTCCTTGTGTTGATGCTATAGTAGATGTGTGTTCTCCATATGTTGATGCTATAGTAGATGTATGTTCTTCTTGTGTTGATGCTATAGTAGATGTATGTTCCTCTTGTGTTGATGCTATAGTAGACTATGTAATCCTTGTGTTGATGCTATAGTGGAAATATGTTCTTCTTGTTTTGATGCTATAGTAGATATGGGTTATCCTTGTGTTGATGCTATAGTAGATGTATGTTCCTCTTGTGTTGATGCTATAGTAGACTATGTAATCCTTGTGTTGATGCTATAGTGGAAATATGTTCTTCTTGTTTTGATGCTATAGTAGATATGGGTTATCCTTGTGTTGATGCTATAGTAGATGTATGTTCCTCTTGTGTTGATGCTATAGTAGACTATGTAATCCTTGTGTTGATGCTATAGTAGATATATGTTCTTCTTGTGTTGATTCTATAGTAGACTATGTAATCCTTGTGTTGATGCTATAGTAGAAATATGTTCTTCTTGTTTTGATGCTATAGTAGATATGTGTTATCCTTGTGTTGATGCTATAGTAGATGTATGTTCTCCGTGTGTTGATGCTATAGTAGATGTATGTTCTCCGTGTGTTGATGCTATAGTAGATTTATGTTCTCATTGTGTTTATGCTTTAGTAGATGTGTGTTCTCCTTGTATTTTTTCGCTTTGGTATATGCTATCACTAAAGAACATGTTTATGACCATATTAATTGTCCTTGTAATGTGCACCAAGTACACGGCAATCTTGTTATAATCTCTGTTGGATATTGTAGTATTTTTTACGTCAGTTTTTTTTAGGAATTTAACAGTAATTGAACATTTCCAGTAAAGTTACAAACAAACCCTGTATCAACTATAAACCCGCAAATTCAACACTGCAGTGTTTCCCCACATAACTGGGAAAACAAGAGGCCCATAGGGCCTGTATCGCTCACCTGGATTATCTAAGCAATCATGGCAGAATATTCTCCAAATGAGATCCATGGGAATATGCCAGACCCCAAGGCCAATCCTTGTAGCATATATATCTGTATTCGATTTTTCATGCCCAGCAATTTTATGTATGGTTATGGGGTGGGGATCTCAACTGTTTCCAATCTGTGACTCAGAAACTAGGTCCCTATGGTTGTGGCCAGACCCCAGGATCAATTCTAATATCATGACTGCATTTGTCTCTTTTTGCCCAGCATTTGTATATATAGTTTTGGGGTGGGGATCTCAACCGTTTCAAAGTTATGACCCAGGGGTTAAGTCTGCAAGGGTGGGGCAAACCCTGGGGTCAATTCTAATATCATGACTGCATTTGTCTCTTTATGCCCAACAATTGTATATATAGTTTTGGGGTGGGGATCTTAACCATTTCGAAGTTATGACCCAGGGGTTAAGTCTCCAAGGGTGGGGCAGTCCCCAAGGCCATCCTGGAAGCATATGTGCATTCATCTCTTT